TGGATAAGCAGCTTGTCATTCTTGGTGTAAGCAGACATCTTTCGAAAGTACATCACCAAATGACTTCTTGGACAAGTGTGCCCCTTATATTTCTCAAACTCGGGAGTCTTGAACTTTGCAGGCATAACCAGATCAGAAACCAAGCACATATTGTTAGCATCAACACTGAAGAACTTATTTCCTTCCATAACTCTGAGTCTCTTCTCCAAAGTTTGATACTGTTATTTGAAATCTTCAAACTCACCTAAGTCTCCTTGACTCACACTTCGAGGACTGGTAGCATCGTGCTCAAAGAGAGGATTCCCAAAAGAAGCTTGTGCAGTAGGTTGACGAGAAGCAATATGAACGATTGGCTGAGGTTCAGTGAAAATTGGAGCTTGAAAGACTGGTCGGGAAGACTGACCAACCATTGAAGTAATTACAACAGGCGGAGAGTAATTCTGAGGTAACCCAAACTCTAGCCATGCAGTAGATGTATGCTGGATAGGTTGAGTGTCAACAGCAGCAGTTGGGATTTCAGATATCACAGTCCTTAGAGGTGGCTCTCCTCTGGAAATCAGGACTTGCATCATCTCAGTAAGTTTGTCCATGCCTGACTTTAACTCGTCGATTTCCATTCTGACTTCCATGTTGTGTTCTTGGTTTTCCATTCTCAATCTGACAACAGCTCTAGTCCCGTAGTTGTGTTGAGGAATCGACTTGACGGTAGACGAATAACTGGAACAAAGAAGCAACCGGGAATAAGATCCCGAACAACCTGGATGTATGTAGAATGATGCAGAGGATGAAAATGATATGCAATGTTATGCAATGCACTGTACAGTAACAAGATCACATGGTTCAGAGTCACGAGCCTGGAGTCAAAGGTACAACCCATAAGGTATGGACTAACAGTTATCACCTGCCGAACAAGGTTCTAAGAGGTTCCCAGAGTCTACATCCTTCCTTTGGATATTACCAACGTCCCAATTAACTCGGTAATTAGCAATATTCTCAGGAAAGACTCGTCCGAGTGTAGTATCGCGTGACAAATACTTCCGGATTACTCCGTCATAGCTTCCGCACTACACCTAAAAGGCCAAGAGGGGTTAGGTAATCTACGGTCCTCAGCTTTGCAGGCTCCCAGGTCGAAAGCAGTACGTCTTCCCGATTACTCGGTAAACAACACTACAGTCAAAGGGGCCTCCACTGAGTGGGGGATCTCATGCCTCCTTTTTTGGGATTACTCCCTCAAAGTTAACATGACTATACCTCCCGTCCTATCTTAAAGTTTGCCCAAGTCCGGGTATAGGACTTATGAGTAATCACCAAGAACCCTATAAACCAGAAAAATCCAGACAAACATATATACAAAATATAACACATAAACAAAAATAGCACATATACAGATATAAACAAAGATAGGCTTAACCCACTTAAGAATTGACCAACAAGAGGTCAATCTGTCCCCAGTGAAGTCGCCATTTTTTCTGTAGCGGTAGAAATGTGCAAGACTAAGCCATTGGATTGACTAGACTTTATACAAATTAAAATAAAATCGCTACCGCGCTTTATTGTTTTCAAAGGAATGGGAAAAGAGCGAATAACCCAAAAAGAGGGGGAAAGATTCAAGGTAAGGGGGTTGGTTATGCAAAGAGAAGGTATTAGCACCCTAAACATCTACGGTACTCCGCAAGAACCTCTTTGAAAAATCTGTATATTTTGGCTATAAAAATGTGTTGTATATAAAAGGGATGGTGGAGGTGAGAAAAGAAATATTTTTATGATTTTTTCACCCGCCGCAGTTGCGAACCTTTAGTGCCTACGTACCACCTTTCGTGCAATAGGGGATCAGGGTACACGTAGTTCATCTAGAAAAGACTTGTTTGTTGATTGTTTTTAAACAAGGAGACAAGTCATCATTATTAGGAGAGAAATCTCGACTAACGCCCACAAGGTTTAAGAAAAGATGGACCCTGCGTCAACAAGAGTGAGGGTTTGAGAACACCTCTAGTACTCAAGAGGAAAAGTCGACACTTTTATAACCATAGGGATAGGAGAATGTTGCTCGACTATCAATGAATCATGTCTCACCTTGAAAAAAGTTTTGAAGGGTAAAGGTGCTCGGGCGCACAAAAGAGTTTAAATGAGTTGAAGTGTTTTTTTTAATTTTGAAAAGATGTCGAAGTATGATTAAATGTATTGAAGTTTGTTTAAAGAAAAGAAGTTTTTAAAAGAAAAGGCGCTCGACAAGGTCGAGGTTTATTATGAAAGCGGTTCGAGTTTAAAAACAAAGAAGATTTTGAAAGAAGATGAGAAGGTTTTTAAAATTAAAGAAGATGGGAGGAGATGAAGGGACTATCCTAAAGCATAAGGTAAAAGCTAAGGAAGAGAACCATCTAACCAACATGAAGCCGATACTTGACATTATAAGCCAATGTAGAATTCCCATTATTTGGATTGAAACCAAGCAAGCAAAGATACTAGACCTCTTGAGAGAACCAAACTTCAAGTGTTTTAAGTCTTCACAAAAATTGGGCAGAGTAACGGCTGTATACGGGTGAATTCCAGATTACAAACAAAGTATGTAATCACAATAACCTGCACACAAAACAAACAAACAACCCAATGTCTTGAGGTAAACCTCAAGAACTCCAGACAAAATATCAAATAAAGTCACAAAGTCTCCAAGATAGGCCAAGGTCTCTAATCCTAAGTCCAAGAAGTCCATCACTCCATAATGCAAAGGATAGTAACCATGTAGTCCAAGTATCATTAATGATTTTTATGGTTCATGTTGATTATTAGGTGTCTTTAAAAAGAAATAAAAGCTCAAGTGAGCAAAATAAAAATGACATAAAAGTAAATGCTCAAGTGAGCAAAGACGAAAATAACCTGAAATGTAAAAATGCTAAAAGTAAATGGTACATAAAGCATAAAAATAAAAGCATAAAGTAAAGTTAATTTTTAGTAATTAGTGGTTAGTTGGATGACCATCTTGAAACTTGCATTTGGAACTCATTAGGGGATTGGTAGAACCAAAGCCTCTACACAACAAGTTGCATTTGCTTTTTGTCAAGTATATCATCCATTTTGGAATTCTCATAAGGAAACATGTAATGATCAACGATGTTTAAGTGATCCGCGTTGACCAAAGGTGTTGTAGATCCATCAGAGGATTGGTAGAACCAAAGCCTCTACACAATGAATCTCAAGGTTATTGGATCAAAGAGATCAAATTAACATACTTGGGCTTACAATCATAAGTTTGGGCCACGAATGATCATTTATTCGAATCGGGACAAAATTTAGCGCTATGTTAAGCAATCGTAAGTGGACTTATATAGAAGTCACACCTATTTTGAGGCCGGTCAATAGCAATCTATGTACTTCATGTTTGGATAAATGATATAGAGATCACCATCCCTTAACATGTAGCACAATTAAAAAAAGAAAGGGATAAGATGAAGAGGGAGGGAAATGATAAGCTAATTTGGATCACCATTTCAAAATTCTTTCATCTTTAAATTCAACCACTCCTCTAGATGGATTAAAGCACTAAACATATCATTAATCCAAAGCACCAAAAATGAATTAAATAATTCACTCTTAGGTAGATTTGAATTGATGAACATTTATCCAACTTCATCTACATCACAAAGTCCATTGATTTTAAAGACAAATTGGACATTTAAAATTGCAATCCAAACCAACAATCAAAAGGAGTGAGTAGAAAAAGCATTTTGGATCAAAGCTGCCCCAAAACAAGGAAAAAAATACATTCTGTTCTGGTGTAAATCGATTTACACTACTATGTAAATCGATTTACACAGTATAATTTTCAAAAATTTGTGCAAAATCGTGCTGTGTAAATCGATTTACACATAGTGCAAATCGATTGCACACAGAACAGCAGCCAAAAACAGCATTTTAAAAGGCCAATTTCTTGTTCAAACTTTCCATCAAACACCTTATGATCATGGATCCAATTGAGCACGAAAATTCCATCAAATTATGAGAAAATAACACCATTGGAATCACAAAAGAATGCTCAATGAATCAATCCCAAAGATCACCAAGAGATCACATTGTGAAAGATGAATTATCCAAACTTACCAAAGGTAGATCTAGAGAATTATCAAAACAATTTCAAGAATTTGCTTCAATTCAACCACAAGAATCAATTGACCAAGCTTGGATATAGAGAATTGATGGAGAAAAAGTGTTTGGATGAAGGTTTAGCTCAAAGATTAGTAAACTTCAATGCAAAGCTCACTAACTTTTTGAAAATGGAGCTTTGAGTGAATTTGGTAGATGGAGAGAATTGAGAGATTTTTTAGCAAGGTGGATTTGGCTATCAAAAGCTTGAAATTTGAATGAGATGAGGGCTCTATTTATAGAGTTTTGAATTGGGATTAGGGGTAATTTGGTAATTGATTCTTGGAGCCAAAATTTGAATTAATGATAATTTTTTCAAATATTAGAGCCAAAATTTGAATTAATGATAATTCTTCTTAAAAATGAAAAATTGGCACTAAAATTTGAATTAATTATACACCTTTCAAAAATGAAGGAAAATTGGAGCCAAAATTTGACAATTTTAAAATGCTGATTTTTTTCTTCGCAAATAGAGATTTTAGGGAAATAATACCGGAAAACCTTATTTTCCATATGCTTCGACTCGGTACCTACAAAAAACAAATATGCAAAGACAAAGACAAATATTTTTGTATTTTGAGTAGAAGTTAGTCAACAACACAAGAGAAAACCTAAAGATAGGATGCAAATGTGATGAATGAAGCTATTTATTAACGATTGTGACTGAATGATAAAATATCGTATGAAAGTGCGACTGAAAAAGTTAGGGGCAAAATTTAGGGTACAACAGTTATTGAGTTTTTTGGGAAGAGATGAGGTTAAAATAACTTACTTGGTTGGTAGAGAATTTCTTCAGGGGAGATAGTGAAAACCAAGGAGAAACTATAACAGAGAAAACTCAGTTTGAGGTGGAGTTTCCTACAATGGATGCTAGCAGTAGTGAGGGAATGGTTACAGAGATCTCTGATTATCATTTGACTCATGATAAGGTAAGGAGGGTTATTGTAGCATCTGAAAGAGACAATTATGCTAGCCTTGGATATTATGTTTTGAATGTGGCTGAAGGACTGTAAAATGCAAAAAGAAGAACCTTCAGAGAGGCATTTGAAAACAGGTGGAGTCAATGGTTGTTGAAAAATCATACTTGTGGACTTGTTAAATTACCTAGGTAGAAAAGGGTAATTGGAAACAAGTGGATGTAAGTGACAAGATCAAGATTCAAGGGTTGTTTAAACTTGATCAAGGTTATTGATTAGAGTTTCAACATGGTAGAGAGCAGCAATGTTGTTGATGGTTAAATTGGTATCAACACGATTTAAAGTCAAGGTGGAGACTGTTGTAATGTTCCTTATAAACTTTGTTGATGAAGATAAATAAAACATATTTTGGAGATTGCATATATTTCGAAAATCAGAAGCTTCAGAAAGTCAGACAAAAAGTCAAAAAACAGAAATCGAGAAAAATTGATTGGGTGAATAGTGTTGTCTGTATGAATGAATAGTTATGTTCACACGGGTGAATAGTGATGTCCGTACGGGTGAATAGTGATGTTCGTACGGGTGAATAGTGATGTTAGTACGGTGAATAATGATGTCAAGTTTTTTGGCAGTTTTCTGTTTTGCGTGATTCAGGCTCTTTCGGTTCGGTCCATGAATCCATGTGTGATTGGATTGCAATTTTATGGTCTAGTTGTTGGGTATTTAAAATTATAACTATGTATCTCTCATATGCTTGTAGGCATGACAATCTTAAATTTTACAGCAACAAGGGAGAGCAAGGGTTTAAAGGTATATCATAAGGTTTTGGCTATTCTCAAGGAAAACCTTAGAAAGACAATGGTTTTGGGAAACCTTTGGACGTATCTAAGGAAATTGAGAAACACTTGTTTAACCTTGGGTTTGGGTTATTCATATATTGAAGGTTGAAGATGTTGGGAGACACTTGGATAGAAAATATGGTTATTCTTAGGCGCATTCAGAGTTATGCTTGAAAACCCAAGGTGAAGGCTATTTTTTTGTAACCCACCTGTAATCTCTTGTAACAACTCTCTGAGTATAGTGAATTGGAGAGTTTCTCTCTCCCCTAGAACAAATTGTTTGATTGAACTGAGTAAACAAACCGTCGTATTTATCTCACCTTATTCTGTTATATTATCTATGTACAAATTATTATTATTATAGACTATTTATTTTGGTTGCTATTGTTCTTTGCTTCTCAAATTTATATTGAACGTTGTCAACAAGATTCACAACACATTCTTTTAATTTTTTCCCCAAGTGTGATGTCTTAATGAACAACCTAAGTGAGTCTTTTAGTAGTATAATTTTACAAGTTAGGTACAATCCAATTCTTACCATGTGTAAATGGATTAATAACTACTTAATGAATATGGTTGTTAGAAATTAGTTAATCTTGATAAATGGAAGCATAATTTCATGCCCTTTTTTTAGAAAAAGACTTAATAAAGAGGTCTTGTTTATTGGTAAGTGGCTTCCAACTTGGAGTATGGGTGAGATTTGGAAAGTTCACCGTCCTTATAATATGCTTCAATTTGCAGTGAATCTTGAGAAAAAAAACTTGTTCATATTATTTTTGGGACTTAGTGGTAATACCTTGTATACATTATCAAAACCTGAATCCTTAATTATATGTTGATTCTTGTTATATGAGAGAGGCATATCAAAAATGTATTGGAAATAATGTTAGTCCCATCAATGGGATGGATATGTGGCCTAATGTTGATGGTGAATACATGCTACCACCATAGTATAAGAAAGGTATAAGTTGTCCTAGGAAGTTAAGGTTTAGGGAGCATGATTAAAAAAAGTCAAGGATGAGGAAACCAGGGGTATGTTATAGATGTATCAAATGTGATGACTTTGGTCATAACTCAAGGAGATATCAAAGCAAGGAACATGACCCTAAGGCTTTGAAAAGAAAAGTAACTTATCATTGTATTGTAAATAGCCTAATATTGTATCATTGTATTGTAAATTGACTAGGATTGTATTATTGTAAAGAAAACCCCCAAGAAGTAAGGGTAAATATGATTATCCAGGAGCTACTACACGTGTAGAAGAACCTGTAAGTACTGATGGTGCAGAAGTACATGTTGGTACTGATGATGCAAAAGTACAAGCTAGTACTGATGGTACATGTATTGATGGTGTAGAAGTACATGCTTGTACTGATGGTGCGGAAATACATGCCAGTACTAATGGTGCAGGTATTGATGCTTGGAATGACCCTAAGATTGATGTTCTAGTTGAAGATATGATTGCATCTTTTAGGATCAATCTTCTCAGGAACAACAATATGATGTCTTTAATCCATCAGATGTCTAGAAAAAATCTCCAAGAATGAAAAATAATTCTCTTGCAAAGAAGAAACCTTAAGCACCTAAGGGGACTGGTGATAGGTTGAAGAATAATGTTGGCCCAGGATCAAGTTCATATACACCATTGTAAATAAATGATTCACATGGTCATACTCAAGTAGTACCCAAGTTAGGGACATGTGTTTTCAAGATGAAGTCATGTGATGAGATTTATAGGCAAATATCAAAATGATACATTAGTTTATTTTGTAGTTTAATATTTTGTTAAGCACTTTTGTAATGCAATAAGTCCGCATGTTTTGGAACCCAATATAAATCAATATGTCTGCATCTTTTATAGTGAAGTATGACAATGTTTGGAACTTATTGCAATGAATTATACATATTGTCTACAACTTTTATAATGAATTATGACAAATTTTTGTAATAAGTTTTGAAAAGTAATTGTAGTGAGTTATGCACATTGTATGTGTAACACTCAAGGCCAACGAGTGCGTCGAGTGGTCATCGGTGCACAAGGCATGACAATGAGAGGCTCTTGGCAGCTTCTAGGCAAAAACCGAATTCATATCGAACTGATGGGGGGTCTTGAGGTTGTGTAGGTATGAGACTGCATGATTGAAGAAAGACTTATAAGGATTTATTGGTACTACCTATACCAACAAGATGCATATTCTTTTTGGTATTCTAACAAATAAAATCTCCATAGTTGTTAAGTGTCAAATTTTGGTTAATTACCATATCATTTATTGACACTTTTAAGCTCTTTTGTGTGCTTTTGATTATGAAAATGACTTATTTTAAGTGCTTATTGCATCAATGTAAATAATCTTGGTAGATTTAATATGTTTGTTAGTTTTTCAACACTTTATGTTCAGATGTTGTAGCTTGAAGCGGGCTCGGAGATGAAGAATCAAAGAAGCTCAGCGTTAGAGTTTTGGGAAGTGTCGCCCGAGGATGGGATGGCGAAGAAGATATGCGTCGCCCGGCGACACAGGAGCGATGGCTTTGCGAGAAAGGTTAATTTTTGGATGAGGGTATGAAGTGCATTGCTGCTTGGATCGCCTGACGGTTGAAGTGTCACTCGGCGAAGCATCCTTGTCGCCAGGCGATGTTGGATATTTTCTATTGGATGTGTGCACTGTTTGTGGTCATGTGTGCCTTTTAAGTTGTGTCGCCCGACGACGCATGTTGAGCGCCTGACGAAGGTGTACGGACATGCCATGATTACATGCTACTTTTTAGATATTTTGGGACATCATCTTCCATAACACTCATTCTTGTAACCTAGAAACTTGGTGTGTGAGAGAAAAAAGCCAGTTTTCTCCATTTTTACTCAAAATCAAAGCTTTCCAACATCAATCTTTGAGACTTCAAGTTTGATGTTCACAAAGCTTTGTTGTTTACTTGTTCATCAAGCTACCATGATAATGGGTAGTTAAACCCCTCTTTTATGTCAAGGTTAGTGGTAGATAATCTCATCTTTGTATGTATTTATCTTGATATTTTGTATGTGAACAACTTGATGATAAATATATGGTGAAATACACTTGTTTTATGGTTTATATTTAAGTTGATCAATATTGAGAAGTATGTTCATCCCTTGACCTAGGTTTTCACTTATCAACAAAAAAATTCTAGACATAGTTTTGTGAATTGATATTAACTAATATTGAGTTTTTAAAGTTATCAAATTGATAGTTAGGTAGAGAGATCATTTAAGGATCAATTTGATAAAACTCACAATTTGTTTTAGAGATGAAACATATTGAGAGGATATGTGATTATATTTATTGTTAATGAGTTCACATGCTCTATTAAGAAAATACATATGAAATAGATTATCGAACCTTAATCTTGACACATTTTTACCAATCATTTAAAACTAAAACCCTCTTTTACAGATACTTGATACTTTGCATGAAATTGAAACTTTCCGTTACTAAAACCAGAACCAAACCCTTTTATGAAACTTAAGCTTAAAACAATTCTAACTGTATAACAACAGTGATATCACACCAATCTCTGTGGAAAACGATAATTTAAATACTTTCCCTGTAAAGTGTTTTGAACAAAATGGCGTCATTGCCGGGGATTGACGTTTGATATTGCAAGCATTGCAATAGTTCTATTATTTTAAGTTAAATTGTAATATTATAATATCTCTTGTTTTTCACTTGTTTGGCTAGTGTTTTTAGACTTTTGTTTATGCGATGAAGTGTTTCTGAAGATCAACTCCTTTTTGACCCTGAAATGGAAAGGACTTGCAGAAGACTTAATAGAAAGACACGAAGTAAGAGAAAGCTAGATAAGGAAAGGAAATAAAGAGAGGAAGCATATACTTCTTCAATAATCCAAAATCTAGAAGAAGTTATGGCAAATCCACCTCCTCCACCTGGAGGTCCATGCACAAATAGTCCTAGGCAGAATGCTCAGTTTGCTCTCCAAGCCAATGCGAGGAATTCTGAGATGAAAAATGGAATACTACAACTTTTGTATGCGAATCCTTTCACTGATCTTGATTATGAAGACCCGTACTACCATCTCACAAAATTCTATAAGATTTCTGGTTCCGTGGGAGCTCCAAAAGCTGAAGAAGAGCAAGTCTTCAAAAGACTATTCCATCATTATTTGGTTGGGAAGGCCAAAGATAGATATCTTGACCAACCCACTCAAATTATGACAGAGTGGAATATTTTAGAAGAGAAATTTCTAGAAATATTCTTTCCTCAATCTAGGTTTATGGAGGCGAAAACCGCAATATCTATGTTTTCTCAAGGTGGGAATGAGTCCCTCAATGAAGCTTGGGAGAGGTACAAGTCAATATTGAGAAAGTGTCCTAGCCATGGTTTTGATGAGACTACGCAATTACACATTTTCCACAATGGTCTTCAACCTCAACTGAAACTATTGTTGGATGCTACAACAGGTGATTCATTAATGTCAGAGACTCTATAGGAAGCAATTGAAATCATTAGGAAGATGGCGAGAAATGATCATCAAGTCCAGCATGACCAAAGTTCCTCACAAAGTGTGATCGGTGGAAATAGAACTGACTGTTTAAAGCTGGTTCGCGAAATGTCACGGTAAGCAAGAGTCGCCACCGTCTTTTATTTTCTCCAACATGGACAGGACAAAAGCACAGCAAAATTCCTTATGAGATTATCTCTCGGTTCGGGAGGTAGATTTATAGAAAGGGAAGGTGTTATCACCCTTTCTATCCATGGTTATCCATGGGCTCTTAGATACTTGCTCATTGTGTTTTCAAAATGTTTGCTTTTCAATTGTGAGTGGGTTTGAAAAAAGTTTCATTGAAAGATTTCTGAATGACTCTTGTATCTGGCCTCAAGAGTGTTTGAAAAATTGTTTTGAAAGCTTTTTGAAAGTGTCGATGTGAAAAGAGTTTTGTTTGTTTTGAATAGAGCAAGTATCTATGAGTCATCTACCTACCCTAAGAAATTAGGCTGTGTAAATGTCCTTAAGGTAGTGCCATCCCACCATTGAGAGGTAGGTAGCACCACCGTTGGAGGTGTTCGGGTCAATTCGTTTTTAGGGACAGTGTGGTCACCAGAGCAACATTAGGACACCTTAGAAGCTACCCTTATGCCATTGATCCTTTTTAATTCCGAGGCAACCGTTTCGAGGCAACTGGATCAATGGACATAAGGACTTACTAAAACGTCCTATACTCGACGACCACGTTTCGAAGGTAACAGGTGAGGCGTACCCTAAGAGTGGTGTGTGAATTTGTGCGTTGTTTTCAGTTTATCAATTATCTTTGATCAGGCATTATGGTGAGCTACGCTTGTTTTTAATTTGGCCATACATTCTTTCATGCAAAGTTTAGCAATTAAGAGTGCGGAAATTTAAATGCGGAAAGATAAATCCTACGCTATTACAAGGCGCGGGTCTATACATCGCCAAAATACAAAGTCCCGTTTTAATAAAAATGCGGAAAGTAAAACCTAGTTACTATTACATGGCTTGAGCAGTTACATAATATTTGAAAAGAAAATAAAATAACGTGCGAAGAGAATAAAAATAGAACGTTCGAGGGCGTTGGACCCTTTTGAAATTAAATTGAATTAAAAGTTAATTAATTATTTAATAAAAGGAAAGAAATGTTTTTTATGTTTTTGGTATTTAATGAAAATAAAGAAAATTGAAAATCAAGAGAAACCCTAATTCTAAGTTATTTTTAATTATTTGAGAAAATGTTAAAGTTTAACCTAATTTACTAAATAATTAATGTACATGTTTATTTACAAAATATTTAGTAATTAATAATAATAATGATGAGAAAATTATTTATTAAAAAAAGGATGAAAAAGTTAAAAAAACCCTAATTTCTACATATTTTAATTTATTAAGAAAAAGATTAAAGTTTAAAAACCTAATTTACTAAATTAATTATTTGACATTTATTTACAAAAAATAATAATGGTGAAATTAATATTAATAAAAATAGACATTTTTTGATTTTTTCTGTATTTTATATTATGAAAATTATTTTATGGAATTAAAAGAAATAATTAAAACACTAAAAAGAATTAAAAGAAAATCAAATAAAAATAAAAATAATGCAAACCATGGGGGGTATCAGGCCCATTTAGGAGGTTTTTTGGAAGCAATTTGGCCCACTGAACAAGAAGCCTGTTTGACTTTTCCAGCTTGGGTGCGTGTGATTGACTGGGGTACATGGTAGGACTCCTTTTGTAGCCTTCAGATTGAAGCTCATGGGCGCGTGGCAGGCTTGGATGTGGAGTTGTATGATGAACCCTGGGGGAGGCGCTGCATGTGAACACGTTAAGAGGAAAAATATGAAATATGTGGGGGGACTTGGGAATCAAACCCAGGTCCCAAGGCTTGAAGGATACGTTGCCAGCCAACTGCGCTGTTGAGTTTCTTTGTTAACATAATGTATGAAAAATATAATATAAAAAAAATGTTAGTTAGTGGTGTAAATAAAAAAAGGCGCGCCAGATTTAAATTGTCCAGTAACATCAAGCCACGCTAGCTTTCTTCT